ACTCTTTCTGATAATGTTAATAAATCTGACTGAAAATTAAGAATTTAGTTGGGAAAATATATAAAAGTGCTTTCTGATAGGAATTACCGATTCTCGCAGAAGTTCATGCTATGATAGAAATTAAATCGCGAAAACATATTAAAATTAGTTACATCACAGCAACAAGATTATGGACGATTAGTCGATAAAATGATAGGAATCAAAAATATTTACGAACTACCAGTCAATAGAATGATAGATTAACAAAACGAGTTTTGGGCCAATTTTCGCGTATTCGTGTCCATTTCTTTGAATGATAAAAAGAACGCCAAGTTGATTATCCCACTTTCATACTTGAATATAGAATAAAAATAAGGTCTACATAGCTAATAAACATTCAGATGAAGACCACTCACTTTTTCATGTGTCTTACAATTTGATTCCCTAATTCAGTCGTAGTGATTGTGTATGTCCTGATTTGGTAATCTTTTAATCAATATCGCTCCAGAAATCAAGTCCATGGCTCCATGCACATATTTAAGCAGGTAGGCATTAAAAGGAAATCAAAATTAGAACATGAAAGCTAAAGTATACATAATGGGAGCTTAAAGCTTTCTGTTAAATATTTCATGACATGTTCTACGGTAGATCAAGGAAAGATAAGGAAACTGGTAGTATATAAGCTGATCATGTTCATTCTTCTCACAAGGCATCACGAGCGGCTATTCGGCAAGTTATTGCATCAGCAAGTGATGATACTCCAAGTTCCGAGGCAGATATCTTGTAATGCTGAATCATAACAAATTATTGAATATGCTAGTTATGCACATAATTCATAATCATAAATATACATACAAAGGGATCTGGAATAGCGCAGCCCTTACAAACCTTCTGTATCTGGGATTGGTTTGCTCTCCCTTCCAGCTCCTCCAGATCAACCTCTTTGCCATTAATGAGCTTCTCCATAGCATTTATCTAGTTAAGTAAGTTACAGAGATCACACTTAAGATTTGTAGGTGAGAGAATTAAAAAAAAGGAAGCCATATTTTCTGTACAGTTGTCTCACCACATCAGGAGTAGCATCAAATCGAGCAGCAAGTACATAAGTTGTGCTGTCAGAGATGCCACATCTTTTCAAGGATTCAGTAATCTTGTTGCAAGACACACCAAAGTTAGCAACTCTAATTGGAAATATAAATCATAACAGGTTCAATAGCAATACATAATTACATGCTTGGACCCTGAGTAGTTGTAAACTAGCTCTGAATGAAGAGTGCGCGTGGTCAAAGAATCTCGTGACTTGGCTACAAGTGTCTTGTGTGCAGCAGCTAGAACAGGGAAAATATCTGGAATCTAGTTCAAATGAACATTAGAAAGAAGCAAAAATGTTGTTAACAGTCATTGTAAAAAATTAAGCACCAGCATCATTAGAATCCTCTCATGTTACATACTAACATGTGATGGTCATGTTATGAGAGAGAAAAAGAAACAAGTAAAATTATTAAATCCTCTATTGAAAATGGTGGGTTCAACTATAATTACTTCTGCATATTTTTCTCTCGTAACATGACCACTTGATCCTCTTGTAAATGGTGCTGGAGATGACATAAAACCCAAACATAAGAAATCATACAAGTAAAGCATTGAGGAATGCAACTTCTGGCTCCAATGTCCCGGCTTGCATACTTTCCAAGAGTTCTCTGGAATAATAAAAATTTCATAAGCTAAGTGCAGGTTCCCAATCTTTTGGATCAATTACAAATAAATAGATAAAGTTTTTTACAATGTATTCTGTAGATTTACTTTTACAGATAGGTGTATGACCATAAATAGCAAAAAGTTAGCAGTCAGCCAAACAATTACTAGGGACTTGGGAGGAACTGGTTTATCAACTATCATAAATTAACTATCGTAACTACACTACTAGCACCTAATGCTCTTACTAGTTATCACAAGCAAAAAGAATCAAATCAAACTCTAAACTATGTTAAAACTGAATTTTGAGACAAAGTGATCCCTTTTGTCTAGCGATAATATTTGAAAGTTACCCAAAAACAATCATTCACCTTATAACCATTTAACCTAACGACATAAATAATTTGAGGTAAACATAATTCTTATAATAACAGAACCGCCTTGACAGTTGGCATGAGGAAAAAAATCTTAAATTTAAACTAATTCTAAATTTCACTTGATGGCAACACTCCCATAACAAGCCGAGAGAAAGAGGGAGAGAAACTAACTTTGAATTGGTTACGTCGGAGTAGAGTGCAAGAGAAAGAGTGGTTCCATTTATATTGAACGACTTCATAGCTTCTGCTTCTAATCTGTAACAAATGCGTTAGCTGCTGAATGTAATAAGGAGAAAAACAGGAAAAATGAAATTACTCCAACCTACCAAATCTGTTTTTCACCTTTTCAATTTATCTTACTTAACAAAGCATATTATTTTCACTATCCAATTTATTTCCCCTTATATTTCTTCCCTATTTTCTCGTCCAAAAAAAGTTAGTATCCTTTGGTAAAGATAAGTATACTCAAATTCACTTATCCAAAACAACAGAAGTGCATTTGTTTCAAAGTTTGAACAAATTGCATAAACTAGGGCTTTAGCACACCCGCCTATCCCGGGAATTTCTCATGGACATTCTCCATCTGTGATAATAAATTATAACTCTGATTTAAGAAGTTCAAACAAGAAGAGGGGGAAAAGTAAAACTAAAACCAGTTTCAAGATTGAATTAGATAGAAAGAAGAGAAATTGCATAACGCAATAAACGCAGAAGTCGTGGGCTTACAGAGATGGTTAAGGTTGTCGTTGCGGCTGTCACACTACACAAAATGGGGTTCGGCTTTCCCACCAAAGCACACAGACGAGATGAGACTTGTGAATTTGTGATATACCAATTACCAAGTTTCTTGTCTTTTAAATTCTAGGGTTTATAAATTTTCAAATTTATAAAGAGCTCCTTCGTTACTTTGACAATTAAAAAACAGGGACTACTGCCGTATGACAAACAAACACCAACTTATTCAACAGCTTTTTAGTATGCGGTACATCATCCGGTGAACTGTGAACATAAATTAGTTTTCTCTTCTAAATTTACTACCATATATCTAATTTTATATTAGTTATTATAATAATTATTTTAATGAAATGATGATAATAATTATAAGAAAATAATGATAACAACCATAATAATGTCAATATTACTTAATTTATACTAATATATAAAGGAGATACTTTTTTTTAGTAATCACCTTAATTTTTATATTTTTTTAATTATTATATCTTTCTATTTTAAAAAATTAGAAAAAATATTTTTTTAATTTATATTAATATATAAAAGGATACCATTTTCAATAACTACGTGATCTCTATATTTTTTGACCATTATACCTTTTTGTTTTAAAAAATTAGAAGAAAAAAAATTAACCAAATTTAAGAACTTGAAACTAATGAATTAATCATAACACCAATTAGATCAATATACTTTTACTATTTTATTTTATTATTTTATTTTTAATAGAGACACGAAATATCTCAATCCTACTAGTATTAATAATAAAAGTATCGGTAGAATAATGCATGATAATAATGTTTATAGTGATAATAGTGTCTATTTTTGTCCATTAAATATTTTGGACTTTAGATTAAAAATAAATTTAAAATACTTTTTAGTATTTGTAGTTTTGTTTATTTTACTTTTTATTCTTTATAGTTTGAAATAATTTTTTAGTCCCTATATTTATATGTTTTTCAATCCTTTTTAATTCCTATAATTTAATATATATTTTTTATCTTTATATTTGTAGTTCTTTAATCCCTTTAGACTCTATTGTTAATATTTTTTTATAACATTAATATTAGAAGTCTTGAATTTTATAAGAGATAAAATAATATATCTTAGACTCTCGGTAATGGGTGTCGCATGTAAGGATTAAGAAATTGAAAACCTTTATCACCTTGATATAAAAGAGACAACATGAAAGAAAAATTAACAACAAGATTTAAGAGGATTAAAAAAATTGTAAACAAGATCTAAGAAGATTAAAAAATTGTAAAGATATAAACCAAAAAAATTATATTAAACTATAAGAGTTAAAAATGATTAAAAAATATATTAAAAATAAAAAGTTAAGTAAATGAAACTATAAAAAATTTAAAAAATATATATATATTTTAACCTAAAAATAAAAGTTAGAAAACATAAATAAAACAAAATTGATAACATTCTAATTCATGATAATAAATTCATAAAATAAAAATAATAAAAATAAAAGTATATCAAGAAATTCTTTAAAAATTAAATTAAATTAAAAAATTTAGAAAATGAAAACAAGTTAACATGAGCTAATTCCCTCGCTTGATTTGACTCATTTTAATATGTGAATTGAATTACACCATTTTGATTTGTAAAATATGAGTCACATTTTTTAACTCATTTGATTGAGTTGTGATTTGAAATGACACTTTTAAAAAACTTTAATTGTGATATAAAAAAAACATAAACATGATAATACTTTTTAATTTATTAATTTATATTCTCATAATATTTATTTTATATAAAAAAAATTAAAGAGAGAAAATGACACTTCAATTTAAGACAAAATATTTGTTCTTAGAAATATTTAAAGAGGTTTCACTCTAAGAAGACAAATGAAAACTAAAATCTACCATCAATCATATCTTATTCTACTTGATCAACCATTAAGATTATTATTGAAATATTTGTTAGTGTTTATCTTAAATCATTCAATAAATTTTTGAAGAAAAAAAATACATTTTATTTATTAATGTAGAAAATTTAAAATATATTTTTAATCTTTATATAAACAAATTGATTTTGATTTTGATTTTAATTAAACAAATGTTCTTCATTCCTACATAAGCCAACATTAAAATATTTTTAGGCTTAAATATGTTTTAAATCCCTCAAATTTAGGATAAATTTGTTTTTGTCCCTCAAATTTAAAATTATTATTTTTAGTCCCTGTAATTTCAAAAAAAAATTATTTTAGTCCTTATATTCAAATTTTGTTAAGAAATTCATCAAACATTATTGCATAAAATCTATCTATTAGTGTCCTTATTAGTAAAAATATCACATTATATCTGTTTGATATTGTATAACTGTCTTAATTAGTCATTTTCAAATATGTTATTAATAACTGAAGAGACTAAAACAAGATTTTTAAAAATTACATAGACTAAAAATAATAATTTTAAATTTGAGAGACTAAAAATAAATTTATCTTAAATTTGAGGGATTAAAAACATATTTAAATAATATTTTTATTATCATTATAATTCCTACACATTAAAAAGACTGTATGTTACTTGATAACAGATAATAATAATTTTATACTTTAACAAATAAAAAAAAATATCTCAAAATAAAAAATTTGTAAGAAATTCGAAATGTATTTAAATTATAAACAAAATGACAAAATCATTTTAAAGATCTTGGGTGAAATCTCATGTATTACTAGAATAAAATAGTTGATCCCAAAAACAAAATGGCGCTGAATCAGATCACAGTTGTCGGAAATCATTTTACAATTTCCCCCTTATGGATTACGACTTTCGACACAAATAATTGCAGGCAGTAGTGAAGGAAGCTGTTTTGGAGAAAACAAATTGTTCGTCAATTTCTGCTTTATCGCTCGCATTGTCAAATTCGATTCCGACACAAACGAAATGAGTAAGTAAACTTGAGGATCTGGCTGTAACCCTTGTTTTGATGAATCACCTTCAATATAACTTGCTTCCTCTCTTGGGCTTCGTTCGATTTCTTATATATGTAATATGTTGATCCTTCTTTGTATTGCATAATGGTATCAGTATGTGCTTCTATTTCAATGTACACGTTGTTGAAAATGCAGGCAATTATTTAATTCATATCTGAATCTGCATGCTATCGAGTCACGATGGATAAAGTAGTAGGGTGGAGTTTGAAGAGCTTCAGAACATTATTGGTTGTGGCTTCTGTAACCTTCCCTATTTTAGTCACATTTACTCTCATACGCCAAAACTCAACTTTTGATGTCGTCCAAGGATTTAACGCCTTGACTGGAAGAACCCAGAATACTACTACTAATGTCGTAAAACAAGGGACACAAAATGCTACTACTGCTGATGTCTTAAAACAAGGGTCTCCAAATGCTGGAGTTCAAGCTGGGAGACAAAAAGATCAGAATATTATTATTAGAGAGTCAGCTGTAGGTAACTTCACTCTTTTCAGAATATTAATGTTATGCCATTGCGCCTTTAATTCATTACAAGTTACTTCATCTAATGTCCTTGACATCTGATCTGATTTCTCTAAATTATATGTTAGACAAGATTTTGGGAGACAAAAATAAAAATGCTACACCTGGGATCTTAGAAGAACGAAATCAGGCAATAACAATCTCAGACATTGGTAATACTCTTGCTTGCAGCTTAATTTCAGCATATTTTATTTCTTCATTTTTCTTACTCTGTTATTCATTTTCTTATTTTTATAATGCATAATATACAAAGGAATAGTTTCAAGATTTCGGTAAGCGTCTATTTGTAACAAATACTTACAACTTCTTGTACTTAGACCTGGCATGTTTATTTTGTTGAATACTTGAGAAAAATACCAATCAATACCAGCATTGGTTGGTTATCATTGGTTAAAACACTTGGATTTTTTCTAGCAAGATCATATATTAAAATGAGCTCAGAGATGGTTTTATAAAATTGTGTATGATTTTTATTTTCTTTATTTCCGCATCTACAGGTCTAAAGAATCATTCATTTGAAGATGGGAAGAATGTTCCGTCCCCACCTACTACTACCATTGCTAATGACAAACTCCTTGACGGACTTCTAGTTTCCTCATTTGATGAAGCATCGTGCTTAAGTAGATACCAAACTTACTTATACCGTAAAGCTTCTCCTCATAAACCTTCTAAATATCTGATATCCAAGCTACGAGACTATGAACATCTTCATCGAAGTTGTGGACCTTATACCAAATTCTACAATAAAATCATGAGAAAGGGCGCAAAATTTAGCAAAAATGGTACCAGTACGAAGTGCAAGTATCTTGTCTGGACAGCTTCCAATGGCTTAGGGAATAGGATAGTAACCTTGGCTGCAGCATTTCTTTATGCTATCCTTACAGACCGTGTTCTACTAGTCAAATTCGGGGCAGATATGTTTGGTCTCTTTTGTGAGCCATTTCCTGATTCCTCATGGTTATTGCCCAGGAATTTTCCTTATTGGAAAGATCAGAAACATATTGAAACGTATGAAAGCATGTTACAGAATAGCAGGGAAAACAGTTCACAGGAGTTTTTGCCATCATTTCTTATTCTTAATCTACAGCACACCCATGACGGTCACAATAATTTTTTTCATTGCGATCCAAGTCAAGATCTTCTCCAGAAAATTCCTGTGCTGATTTTATTGTCGGATCAATATTTTGTCCCTTCTCTTTTTATGATTCCGTCATTTAGACAAGATCTAAGTAAAATGTTCCCGGAGAAAGACACAGTTTTTCATCATTTGGGACGTTACCTTTTACACCCATCAAATGAGCCATGGGAAATAATTAGAAAATTCTATGAGGCACACCTAGCCAAGGCAAATGAGAGGATTGGGCTGCAGATTAGAGTATTTAATACTCATCGAGCACCACATCAAACCATTATCAATGAAATTATGGCCTGCGCCCTTCAGCATAAGTTGCTGCCTGATTTTGACATACAAAAGTCAACAACTTCTCCTTTGAAGAAGACCTCAAAAGCTGTTCTGGTAGCATCTTTATTCTCAGAATATGGTGAGAAGCTGAAGAATATGTATCAGGAAAATACAACTGTGACGATGGAAGTAATAAGAGTTTATCAACCAAGTCATGAAGAGCGTCAAAAGTCAAATAATGACATGCACAACATTAAGGCATGGACTGAAATATATTTGCTGAGTTTGTGTGATGCATTGATTACAAGCCCCAAGTCTACTTTTGGGTATGTTGCTCATAGTCTTGGAGGTTTGAAGCCATGGATTTTGCAGAGGGCATACGGGGAAACCATCCCAAACCCACCTTGTCGACAAGCCAAGTCCATGGAGCCTTGTTTCCATTATCCTCCCAAGTATGACTGTAGGGTCAACAGCACAGTTGATTTTACTTCACTTTTTCATCATATGAAGCATTGTGAAGATGTATCTAGTGGATTGAGGCTGGTTAATACTAATCACTAGGTAATGAACAAACTCAATATGAGAATCGAGTCATTGGCTTTGCCAACTAATGTCAATAATTCCTGTTTGCTCTAATATTTAACTACATTACTTTCTTCTTTGTTTGACAGCATTTGAGGTTGTCATGAACAATAGAAACATCCCTTGGTTTTGCAATTTCCTCATCTCACTTTTCACTATTTCCAGTCACTCAGGGATCCTCATATTTCTAAATATCTGGGTTAGAGGCTAAAGATTTTATTTTTTGCAAGGCAAATTGAATGCGGGCATTTGTGTGCTCCCATGTATGTAATTGTGGTGTTGTGGATCACGTGACTGAAATCCTCTTCTAGTGCCTGTGCTAATATATTTTTTTAACCTTGGTGATTTGTTTTATAGGCCATAGACAAATTTCCAGTAATACCAAATGGACTGCAACTGATTAGGATACTGTTCTCCACCATGTAATCCTGCCCTACAAAATGGTTATCTGGATTCGAACCCGTTCACAACATTGAAGGTGGTTTGTGTTCATGGGGACTACTGGTAATGTTTGAAAGCTTTAAGAATGAGTGGCATTGGAGGTGAAATCCTAAATATATCCTCAATGACAACATAAAGGCTATTATTGATGGATGTATTTTTTACAGCAGGGATCGTGTTGGTTCTCCATTCTGAGAAAGGCCATTGTAGATATAATTCAACTTGGGAAGGATGGTCTGTCAACAGAAACCCACACAAGATATATGCATCATTCAGTATCCTATATGCATCATTCATTAGATATAATTCTCAAGGCATGTTATGATTAGTTTGGCTAAATGGTTCTTGCCAATAACTCCTTTTCACCCCTTGTTTTTACTGTTATTTGTTCATTAACTTACATCATTAAATTGTGTATTTAGAAATTTTGTAATATTCAAACAATCAATTTTGTAATATTGTTATATATCTAAACAATGTAATGACCAGTACCATTTACCCATTTAATTCAAGAGAAGTAAAATTCAATTCGGCATCCTACTCATAAACGAGGCAAGTTAATATTTAAGGTCATATAACCAGAGTGGACCAATTCGGTTGACCCATTTTGGGCAAGCTTGGTGGCAGTGCTGGCCAAAATGTGGGAAGGCTGGTGATTTTGTGATCCCAAAATAAAAGTGGGAAAAATAGATAAGAAAAAGAAGAAAAATGAGAAGACTAAAAAAATAAAATTCATAGCAAAAGAAAATAGTTACGGTGAAGAGGAAAAGAAAGGTAACAAAAAAATGAAAAAATGTTTTAGTTGTTAAAAGTTTAGAAGAATCGATAATCTTATAAGCAGCATAAATGCATTTGACAGAGATTTTTGGAGGAAAAAAAATGAAGATCCTATGTCCCATTTTGTCTATAAGCATTTCTTTATTATTTTTCTTCTTTTATTTCCCCTAACTCTCAACTTGATAGTGTTACAAATCTTAAAAAGTCTGATTTGATTAATGAAATATGAAAGATTGCCTTTGATTTTCTAATATTTAGTAAACAAAGTTTGTACTTCTACACGCTTTGAATTCATTGTTTTGCAAAGACAACTTAAGCATAAATTAAGAAAAAAAATTGATTAAGGAAAGTTATTTTCTTTGATAAAGGCAAAGTTGGTTCTCAAATGACCTATGCTATAGTAAATTATTCCTAAGGTCTCTTAGCTTGGGTAGATTTGCCTTCAAATAACTTATACTACGTTACATTTTAATTTTTAACCTACTTAAATTTTAGTTTATAATCGTAAATGTAAATAATATTTTATCTTTATAAAAATCAATTTGCTGAAAAGAAATTATATCTTCTTTTAAACAAAAACAATAAATTTAATTTTAAAGTAAGAATTTATTTTAATTTTAGTAATTACATTTTTTATTTATTATTTTCATTATATATTTAAATTTCACAGTGAATAAAATAGAATGTAGTATATTGACGTAAAATTATTGTCTCTTATTTGAATATTAATATTGTTTAACTCGTGTAATATACTGTTTATTATATAAATAATTGAAATTCATAATAAATTATATATAAATAATATTATATTTGAATATATAAATTATATTTAAAATTTATACTGATATAGATTTTTAAAAATATAAATTATATCTTAAATTTATGGTGAATAATTTTATCGTAAAAATATTATTTTATTTATTTATTAATAATTTATTTTAAAATAATAATATTTAATTTATAAATAATTATAATAAATTGAAAATTATTTTGAATGCTTTAACTTGAAGGATCCGCGGAGGCGGGTAGTGAGCGAGATTTGTATACATTTGTTGGTTCCTTCGGGCGTCGCTCCACCACCGTGGGCATCATCTCCGATTGCTCCACCAAACCCTTCTTCACTTCAGGTATCCTAACATTCTCTCCTCTTTCCTCGCTTAGCTTTACCCGTTCTGTTCGTATTAATTAAATCTACAACACAACAGAATTTCTTCTTGTGCAAATTTCATTATGTATCTGTTTCTGTTTTAGGTTACTTCAATTTTTATAGATTGATTTTATGCTAATCGCAGTTTAGTCGTCACTGATAAAGATGGTCTGTTGAACTTTTAAGTGTTTAGGAATCTAATTCATCTGGGGACGGGAAAGGGAAATAGCTGTTATGTCTCTCTTTATTGATAATATTTGTACACTGCTTTTCTTGCTAAAACCCTTTCATTAATGGACATAACTTAGCTGTGCTACTTTAAGTGCTTACTCTTTCGATCAAATTTAGAGTTTTACCTCGGTAATCCCTAGGTTAAAGGTTGACAAGATATAAGTCCAATTTACTCATTATTATATGACATATTGAGTCTTGAACTTTGCTCCACTGCAATTGCATGGCAATAACTTTTTGTTTTAGTTTTGTATCCCACTGTAATTGGTGCACTTTTCTTTTTCTAGGATTGAAAATTCAATTGCTCTATAACTTATTTCACTGTGAGCTGTAATTAGTTTTTGCTATGTAAGTTTTTGAATGTCCTTCCAAAGATCATGTGAAGACACTTATTAATCAAATTTGTAAATTTATACTTAATACTATTTACGTTTACTCCTCCAATAGTGAGAGAGAATATATAAATTGCAAGTTCTGGTTTGGGATAAATTATACTATAAACAGTATTGTAAATTACATATGTTTTAGATTTTGTAAATCATGTAGACTCTTCTCATGTGGTTCATGTTTTTCACCTCTTGTTTTTAATTTCCCAAAAGTTGTATTGGTTGATTTGGTTAATGGTTTCTTGAATCTTTGAAGATTTACCTAGCACAAAGGAACCTCCACTGTAATGGATAACGGAACTTTGTAATGTACTTGCTCACTTTAGGGACTTTTCCAAATTTGTTTTTAATGAAATAATCACCTTTTTGGAAAAAGGGTGCAAAGCTGCATGTTGAGTTGAATAGAATTACAGAATATGGCATTAGCAGGCATTCTGAGAGTCTTGGGGTTGGGGTTTGCATATCAACTGAGTAATGCAATATGGTATGATTGATTATTTATGCACATGTATCTTTGTTTCGACTTTCAATGTCCATCGTTTACATTACATTAATATTTTGATTCATATTATAATATAAAGTAAAACAACAATTAGCATTTTTTTTTTATTTTCATATACTTTACTGTTTCTACTTATTTGTGGATAGATAAAGTGGAGTGAGTGAACTTAAATATTCTACTATGCATGGAACTCATTTTTTCATTTTTGTTATTTATGCAAAATATTTACGTTGAAAACAGAATTTTAACTAAACTTCCATAGGTTTTGCTCAAACATCTAAGAACTCTTTATATTTTTCATCTTCATGCAAAGAAATTCCACATGTTAACTCAAGGCAAAAGCCTCAACTACAGCCCCCTTCCCATCTACTTTTCTCCTTCTTCCTCCACCTTCTTCCCTTCTGGTTTATCTTCTTTTCTTCTTGTTTTGGTTATTTGGGTTTCACTTTGCATTTTCCTTGGCTGTATTGCTCTGTTATTGCATATCTGTTTGGGCCTGTGCTATACTACATTGTTTTCTGTTTGTATTTTCTTCTGGGTTATACTGTGGCCATCTCTGTTAATTTGCTACTAGTCAGGTTGGATATCTTCCTATATGCTTCTAGAACATAGGTATATTTGTAATTATCTCTTTTTAGGTCCAACACATACTGATTGAGTTTTATGAGATGTATATAAATGTGAGCATAGTTTTTCATACATATTGGTGCTTCTATTTGTACATGATTCTCATTTAAGATATATTGTATTTTGTATCTACTATCTAGGGCCTGTTTGGATAAGCTTCTCTAAAGGAATGCCAAAAAAGAAAAATTGGAATAAACTTTTCCATAAGCTAAAACTAGCTTATGATGCATGAGTTAAAAACAAGATTTTGGAGAAGTAATAGGAGAGAGCTTCTACAAATTAGCTATGCATAAGCTAGTTTCAACTTATGGAAAAGTTTATTTCATTTTTCTTGCCATTTTTTCCCCTTAGAAGTGGTTTTTGAGAAGTTTACCCAAACAGACCCCTTGTATAGTATGAGCTATATTTTAGAATAGCTTCAGTTTGATATGCTATATGACAAACGTTACGTATCATTCCAGCAACCTATAGGCAAGTGATCTATTCTCAAATCAGGAGTAGAACTTTGGTTTCGTGAATGATAAATTAGAAGAACTAATTGGGAATAGTTTTTCGTAATGTTTTCTGAATCATGTAAAACACTAGTATGCACTTGAAAGTTGAAACTGTTTTATGATTTTTTATCTTATGATTGTTGTTTGCTAGAAATTTCATATAATTTTCTATCAGTCTAAAAGTCTATTTTATTGTGTTAAATACAACATATTTTTTTTATGATTAATAATTTCATTTACAACTTAAGTTGACAAAAAATAATAAATGATTAATATTTGAATTAATCTTTTGAAATAAAAGGTTAATTCAAAAGAAACCAGTAATAATTAGTTTTAAACCGGAAAAAGCTCAAATTTATATCGATTTACATAACTAGTTTTAATTTGAACAGTTCTGAACTACAGTTCTCTTGTTTGCCAAGCACTCCTTAAGATTAGAAGTTGGAGGCACTATTTTGCATCCATACACTACTCATTTAAAAAATGTTTCATTATGTGAGTGGTGTCCTTTATTATATGGCTGTATTTTTTTTTTCCTCCCAACCAATGGTCAACCACAAACTCCAAAATTTCTTCTTATATGATTTTAACTAAATGCTGATTTGCTTATTTCTGACAGTGATTCTTGCTAAAGCAATTTCTCAATAGCACAAATTCATAGCAAGCACTTGAGCAACTATGGGTATAATTAGGAGTTGCTTCTCTTTCATAGCAGGGACAGTCTGTGGGGTTTATTTGGCTCAGAATTATCAAGTTCCTAACATCACGAAGTTAGCTGACACTGCGTTGTTCATGGCAAAAGTTGTTGAGGAAAAATACCGCAAGCCCAAGAAGAAGGATGATGATGGTTAGTGCCTAACTGGGTGCTATATTGGAATCAGGTTCTTTTTTTTTTTATCAAGAGGTTCTTGTTTTGTTTTCTTTTAAAGTCCTGGATTTTAGGATCAAATACCTCAATTAACTGAACTTTTGGAAAACACAAATTAGTAGAAGATTTTATTTTTATGGAAGCATTCATAGCAATTATAAGCTTATTATTTTGTCCTTTCCTGGGAAAACATTCTCATTCTTCTGTTGTCTTTCTTGCTCTGAATCTTACTCTTGGACACTATTTAAAAAGTATCGTATCATATGTTTAGTTTCTTAAATCTTGGATGATAAGTTAGCTTCGAGCCAGAAATCTGTTTCATGGTCATCAGAGTTGTGTTTAATATTCAATTACAATTTATTTCCCTAGAAACAAATAATTTTTGTGATATTATCCATTATCTGATGCTTTTAATGATTAATATCTTATCAGGTTTTTTTTTTTACCTTGTTATCTTGTTAGTTTATTGAACAATTTGCTTATGTTTTTGAGTTTTTTGGTTTAACAAGTTAACATGGATAAGATGTCAGGACTGTTTTGGTGGGCTCTGATTTTTCACTTACTCTTGCGTGTTGCAAGTTCCAACACCTACAGGAATAAGACTTGGTTATTGTTGTTTTTTACGGTACCACCTTATAAATGTACAAATCTTTCCCCTTGGCAACCTCTTTTCATAAATGTATATTGGTATGGCTCACATTGAGCAAACATAGAAGATGTATTTAAATCACGAGGTCTCCCTCTTAAAAGGCTTAATTTTTTAGGATGGGATCTTTTCTTTTTTTTTCTTTTTCTTTATAACCTGCCAACGTAAAAAAGGGTAATCTTAAAAGGAGCGACCTAAGAAAGAGTCCTCAGGGAAAGAGTTATGGGATATGCAATGTCATGACCCACTTTAAGCAAACATGGAGCATTTACTTGTTACTAATCATGTCCTTTCTTCTTAAAAGGTCTATCCTCCCGTTTTTGGATGGATTTCAGTCATAACAGGTAATAATTGATTTATAAATAAATGCTTTAAAAATAAAGTCGAGCAATAAACTCAAACAAGTTATACTTCCTTTATCTTTATAAGACTGACTTAATACTAACAACTTATACCTCCTTTAAAATAATAAAAATAAAAATAAATAAATAAACTCAAACAAGTCAGTAGCATGGAAAGATGTAGGCTGGGCTTAATTTAAAATGTCCTTTTACTATACATAAATGTACATAACCTATACTAATCAACAACGTGAATGGTCTAGCAATGTTTGATTGAATGTATTCAACTTCATTCATTAATGATTATACTTGGTTATTTGTGATATTTTCCGTTGAGACATCTAGTTATAATATTTTAAAAATATATCTGTCTACACTATCAAGTGCAATATTGAATATCATCGTTGATTGCTTAGATAAAGTATCTTAACTGGAAAGTATATGCAGTGACGAGAAATTCCGTTTATACTCTTAAGAATTTTTAATTAATAATTTATTTTACTGTTGGAAATCCCCCCTCCCCATAAAATTCCCACTTGAAGTTTCACTTTCAGTATGAATTATATGTCTTTCCATATACAATAACTTCTGGTACTAGGTCATTTTCTTCTGATGGATAAAATAAGTATGAACATGTTGAAAATTGGTCGTACTTCAAAAATTAAAAATTATTTTTGGGTACAGCGCTGACGAAAGGGAAAAGCTATCTTATAACGAAAGCAGCACCTAAAGCATCAGCCAACGAGCTAGGTTAATGTTGAAGTAACAACATAATTAATTGATTATATGGATATGTATAATTTTATCTAAAGCGGTAAAGCCCATATAAAATTTTGTTGGTAACTTAGATGGCCTTAATTCACTCTTTTTCTTACATAACTTTTTATTTTGTTTTCTGTTTTCTAAAATTTATATAATAAAAAGTGAAAGAAAAAATATTTAAACCATTTCTTGTGCAATTTTGTAAAACAAGAAATAAATTAAAAAAAAATGGAAATAGGGCCCTTAATTATTATCAAGAGTTTTTCCTAGAAAATAGAAGAAAACGGTACTGTGCGATGTTTGGTCCTCCTCAACAACAATTAATTATTAATGTGTTGGAAGTGGAAAGGAATAGGGTGACATATGATTGCATGGGAAATAAAAGAGAATTTGAAGGTAGTAGAATTTCACCCGCAAACAACAAATATTGTGTTGGTGGAATGGTGTTGATAGAGGTCCCACACATTCCACCAGCACCCATGTTCTTTTGCTCACAATAAAAAGTTAACCATGTCTCTGTGCACTGCACATTAGCAAATAGCAATAGCAACATTCCACCTATCATTCCCTTAAGACAGCTAATTATGTCTATGTGTTGTGCACTTCCCTTATCTGTGGGCAAGTAAAGTAACAAAGAGGCATATGCTCAGAGCAATTGCAGATGATGTGGACACCACTCTAAGATACATCATACGTATACCTTTAATTCGTTACATTCTTCACTGCTTTGGTTCAATAAGAGGGTGACCTGTAGTGATGCCTAAAAAGTAGAAAGTAGAAAGCAGAAAACAAAGCATCTTATAGGTCTGATACCATGCAAAGAGGAGGAAGAACTAGAATTTCTTTATTCTGAGATATTCCAACTTCTGATTAATAACACCCCTTTTCTGCCACTAGTTGTTCTGGTATATAGAACAACAATTAAAATAAACCGGAAAAAAAAAAAGAAGTAAAGATAGAGAATTTACTTTAGCTTTTTTTTTTTTTTGACGATATATTTTTTCAACACATCCAAATTTACTTTAACTACAAATAACACAATTGCGTATGATGACAATCCAAAACAGTTTCACCCAACAGGCCAACACCACTGTCCAGTTACTTTTTACCAAACTATTAACAATTTCCCTTCATTTTGTTTCACCCGTTACCTAATTTTATCTATTCCGAAATGTCCTAGTACCGTCATTGGGAACCTCATACTCAGTACAAAATGCAGACACGTGTAACTTTGAGCACAGAATGAATTCAGTTAATATTGTGAGTAATATTTATTTTCCTTAGCAAAGTGTGCTTTGCATTTACAGTATATTTTTTAGCGTAATTTTTATTTTGATACAGTAATGTGAATAAACTAATTGCAAGATATGTAGTCCACCCTAATCAAATTATATACGATAAGAATCAAATTCACTATTGTAGAAAATCACGTTATCTATCTAGCCGCGTAATATCTGTCTTCAACCATGACCCAAATTTATATGACAGTGTATTTTAGTGCAACATGGGACCGGAGCTGCAATGTAAGAATGATGGAAGACAAGATATCATCGTTATCCAACCATGTGTGAGTATGAAGTGTGAACCTCTGGTCAAAAATTACCAAACAAAAAAAGAGCTAAAATGAGTAGTATCTCTAGATTCTAAGCAGTGCACGTGGTCTAGTGATGCGTATGAGACAAAATAATTGCGCATAAAATAAAACCTCTCATCCCATCTTCATGTTTCAACCAGTATATGTAATGCATAATAATATTAATTAATAACAATAATGTATACTTCATTACTGCCCCCAACATTATCACACTTTCAGCAGTATTTGCATCCCTTTTCTTTTCTCTCGTCTTCACGTAAGTGATCCCAAGACTTTGCCGCAAAACTTTCTCTTTAGTCAAAAGCACCTTATTGGGTCCCTCCCTTCCCCTTCCCTTTTTCTAATAATGGCTAATCTCATCTCATTTAAAATAATGAGTGCATAGAAACGAATAAACGGTACCATAAATCAAGGAAAACGAGAAAAACAAAAGAGAGTTAAGAATAGTTGAATACAGCTCCACCTCTGATGATTATCTAATCGTAAAGCAATCCACTTTGGATACCCATTGGTAACAACACAAAGAGAAAGAAATGGAAAACCAGCATGCCCATCTCCCTTTTCTTCACTCACCTTTTCCTCATCACCAGTTGTTGCTGTGATCAACATTCATTCATCCACACTACACACACACAAACCATGCCTTCAAGACCCTTCCCTCCAACAAGTCCCACCAAAACCAAGGTCCTCTTCCTAGCACTCACCATTTCAGCTTGTGTTGTGATTTTCTGCTCATTCCTCTACTTCCTCTACCATCTGTGGCATTCTCTTGTTCACAGGGCCAAGACTATCCCCTTTGATGCAAGTGCTCCGTTGAAGCTCCAAAGATTCTCATACAAAGATTTAAAGCAAGCCACCAATGGCTTTGACACTGCAAATGTCATTGGCAAAGGTGGCTCTGGCACTGTGTTCAGGGGAATACTTAAAGATGGCAAGTTGATTGCTATCAAGCGCCTGGACACCTTGTCTTTGCAGTCAGAGAGAGAGTTTCAAAACGAGCTGCAGATTCTTGGAGGGTTAAGGTCACCATTTTTGGTGACCCTTTTGGGTTACTGTGTGGAAAAGAACAAAAGAGTGTTGGTGTATGAATATATGCCCAACAGAAGCTTGCAGGAATCTCTCTTTGGAGAAGGGAGTTTGACTTTGAGTTGGGAGAGCAGGTTTTGCATAATATTGGATGTTGCTAGAGCTTTGGAGTTCTTGCACCTTGGATGTGATCCTCCAGTGATACATGGTGATATCAAGCCAAGCAATGTTCTTCTTGATTCCGAGTGGCGTGGGAAGATCTCTGACTTTGGCTTGTCAAGGATTAAGGTGGAGGGTGAGTTTGGTGTGGACTTGTTTAGCCAGGACCTTGGGAGGAGCCAGGATCTATGGAAAAGCCAAGAGCTTTCAGGTAATTTGACTGCAGAAACTCCTGCTATTGGTACTCCAGTTGAGAGTGTTAGTGAAGTAGATTTTGCTCTAGCTTTGCAAGCCTCTTCTTCATCTAAAAATAGTAGGACCTGCTTTAATGTTAAAGCTTTGAACTTGAATTCTTTGAATTATAATGCCAATATTGCCAGTGAAAGTGAAATTAGGAGCGAAAATGCAAAGGGTAAGGAAATTTCAGCTTTGGAAAGGGATGATTGGAATGGTAAATTTTTTCCTTACGATGATGAGCTTTCTAGCATTGATTATAGTAAGGAGTTAACTGTGAATGCTTCTTCTTTGGTGGATGATGAGAAGGCAAATGGGAAACAATGGGGAAAGGACTGGTGGTGGAAACAGGATGGAAGTGGAGAGTTATGTAGTAAAGACTACGTTATGGAGTGGATAGGGAGTCAGATTTGTCCATCAAACCCTGATTGGGATGATGGTAAGAACAATGTTCACGAGAAAGTAGAGTTGGAAAATTCAAGTCCCAAGGATAAAGACCATGATGCAATTGCCCCCCAACCACAGGTGTTTGGGATAGGATATACTGCAGATAATGGGGTTGAGAAAAAAGTGTCAAGGGGAAAGAAAAATCACAAAAAGAAACACAGGAAGATGCAAGAGTGGTGGAGAGAGGAGCATCTTGCTGAATTAAGCAAGAAGACCAATAAACTGAAAAGTCTTCATACCAAGTGGAAGAAAGGCTTGAAAGTGCCCCATTTTGATTTGGGTAGAAGGTTTTATCTTTGCAGACGTAAGAAGTTTGGAGAGGAGGGTGAGGACGAGTGTGATCAAAATGGGGAGTTTAGCTTCAGAAGAGGCTGGAGGAAGAAAAGTACTCTTTCCATTGGAAGTGACATGTGGAGTGGAGATCTTTTCAGCCGCGAGCTCAGCAGCACAACTAGCATGAGAGGGACACTGTGTTATGTGGCACCAGAATACGGAGGGTGTGGGTTCTTAATGGAGAAAGCTGACATTTATAGTTTTGGGGTTTTGATTCTTGTAATTGTGTCCGGTAGAAGACCATTGCATGTTCTTGCATCACCCATGAAGCTAGAGAAAGCTAACTTAATAAGCTGGTGTAGACACTTGGCTCAAGCTGGTAACATTTTAGAACTTGTGGATGAGAGATTGAAAGAAGATTATAACAAGGACCAAGCAAGTCTGTGTATCAACTTGGCACTCACTTGCTTACAGAAAATTCCAGAGTTGCGGCCTGATATCGGGGATATTGTTAAGATTTTGAAGGGGGAGATGGACCTTCCACCACTTCCATTTGAGTTCTCCCCTTCTCCACCTTCCAAATTATACAGCAAATCAAGGAGGAAACAGAAGGGCACTCCAGAATAGGTTTTATAATGTTGAAGGTTTCTTTATGAGTCATTCGCTCACCATGTTAGATCAGATATGATGAGTGCAGTACGGGGTGGTCACTGAATAGCACACTAGTATTGTTAGATTTATGTTAAATGCATATCAGATAAGTTATTTATGATTTTCTCCACTAAAAGTTGCATAAACATGATTTGATGACCCAATTTCCACTGATTGTTCTCAGTGTGGATATGTTAGAGTACTGTGTTGACTGTCTCCCTTGATGGCTCATGGTTGCGGCTGAACTGTGTATAAGATGGTTAGTGGTTAGCTTAACTCTTCATTGTAATAGATAAGGGCAAAAGAGTATCTGTTAGTTGCAGTTGTTTTTAAGAGAATTTGTTTGGTAGGCTTGCTTTGACTTGATGACAGAAACTCATTCTTACTCGCGCACTCTAGTTTTTCTAAGATGGATTGACCTTGTGTATTTTTTCCATCTTCAGAAAGCATTTACTTTTGTTGTGATTTGGTACATATTAGAAGTAGTTCACCCATCAAACTTCTGATTCTGAATGTTGTCAATGCTTTAAACAATTCATCTTGAATGATGAAAAAACAAGATCTATGAGGCTTAAGTTCAAGCATACTTTCTTTTATTTATTTTTTCATTTTTAATTTGCGATATGAAACTTTATTCCTGACAAGAGGACAAAACAATGGCACCACATCACTTTGAACTTGACAAACATAAAGAAACTATAACAAATAGATTCCTTGTTGCATTGGTTTGAATATAGGAGATCCAACGAAGTAAGCTGGTTTTTGGTTAACAAACAATTCAAACACCTAAATGGTTTGAAATTGGCTGACTTTAATTGTACAGCATATCTGTAATTGATTCGTGGTGTAATAATGGACAACAGAGAAGTCATATTCAAAGACTAAAGTTAGTCACTATTTTTTTTTTATTTTTATGGAAAAGTTAGTCACTATTAAAACAGCATCATTAACACCCCCTTGTTCTATCCCTTAGTAAAAGTATGTGTCATAATGTCGTTGACATAATTTTCTTTTCCATGATTTTGCACGACATACAATCATCTTCCTGTCTTTATTCTGGTCGTTTATTAAAGAGGACAAGCCCATATCAAATGCCACGCAATCCGAAAAATTCGGGTATAAGGACAAACCTAAAATTAACCGAGTCATATACATATAGACTGTTATTATATTATTCTGATGTACTGCATGCTTCAGCTCTGAAAAAGCATATACTAACCCACCAACCAAGCTGTCCAACGTTGCATTGCATGATTTGCATCTCTTTGTCATTTATTATATTTATTGTTGCTTCATAGGTATTACTATTTGGATTACTATTTACAGTAATTCTTTTTGGAAATGATAATGTACAATAAATCTTACAACTAAGAGAGAGAAAAGAAGTAAAAATTTGGCAGATAATAAATGATATAGTGAAGAGAGATTAAAAAAAATGGTGTATAAAATGTTTTGTTTTTTGTAGCAGCAGTTATTTTTTCCTTAAAAAAAATAAAAATAAAAAATAGAGAAACGGACGTGAGGGTTTCAACTTTCAAAGAAATTGAACTTCAAATTTTTAAACCACACTGCAGTTTGTCCGCTTTCAAAGAGATGCTAGTAACTTTGGACATATCCCACTAAAAAGCATAAGAATTTTAATTTTAATTTTTAAAAAGTGAAACTAACAAAATTTACTCAATAATGAAATGTGATAAAAATAAATATATTTCATTTTTTCCTTTATAATAGTCAATTAAGATTGTTTTATACAAATAAAAAAAATTAATAAATTTTCCCATTTTTCATAGAATGATTTTAATCTTTTTTTATTTTTGTCTTAGAATAAATACATATAAATAACCACTAGGGTTAGCTTAATGGTTGGATGAGGAAGAGTTAGGATAGTTAGAAGTATGAAGATCTGAGTTCAATCCTCATTGCAATCATATTTATAATCTTTCATATCTTTAAAAAAAAACATAAATTGTCACATGTAAATTAATTAAAAGTTAAGTAATATATAAAAATATAATTGATAACATAATAATTAATGTTTTGAAATCTAAAAATGACAAGTAAATCGAAAAAAAACAAGTAAAAAAAATGGAAGAAGTATTAAAGACCAATTAGTGTCGTTAGTTTTTCTAATCTATACTAATATATAAGGGGATACCTTTTTTGGTAACCACCTTGGTCTTTATTTTTTTTTACCGTTATACCCTTTTATTTTAAAAAATTAGAAAAAAAATATTATTTAATCAAATTTAAAAACTTTAAACTAATAAATTTATACTTATATAAAGGGGATACCACTTTTAATAACTACTTTTAGTTTTTATTTTTACATGAACTATGTTATCCTTTGTTTATTTTTTAATAATTATTTTTTTTATGAGTAATTTTTTATTTTTTTTAATACAATAGAGACATGGAGTGCCTTTTTTCTGCTAGTCATCTTAAAAGCAATGCTTATCTGCAATAGGTTGTTTCATATAACATAATAAATTTCAGATTTCGAAGTTAAATATGCCTGGTCCATTTGTCGACTATACTCCGCATGAGACAAGCCTCCCATTATTTTTTGTTTCTTGGGACAGGCAAAATCGCAAAGAAGGAAAGTGGGCAGGGCATCTACAATGCGAACACATTCTTGTTCAGATCTGAACAAAATAATTTCCTTAGAAAATGTTCAATCATCGTTCATTCTTTATGATAAAAAAATGAGTTTAAATTCACATAGAATTTTGACAATAGATAAAGTTAATATTGAATCCATCTCGCAAGGAAGGGAAGAGGGCTAGTCATGTTTTTTTGGCATTGGCATAACGTGCTGTTTTTTATATAGATAAGAGGTTGAAACGGACTGCGACTAGACGAATATTCAAATCAATGGAGAACTCCCAGGAAGACACGATCAACGTATGAGCTTTGATGTTGAATTATGACCGTGACAATCAAAACTAGGGAGTACGAGTTCAGGAGAATGCAGCAGCAACCAAAATCATCAAGCATTTACTTAATGATCAGATGATTATGGGTTGACTAGATACTTTTCCATGTCTTCAGTACATCTGCTCCTGTAATGAAATTCAAAACTTAGGTAGGTTGCCAATGGGCCATAGCCAGGCTGCATCATCTGTCAGGACTACGACAAAGCGAACTTCTCAAGATATCCCACCATATTTAACAATATTAGCACTAAATGCTACATGGTATTTACAATGGTAAAATGTAGAATGGCAAATCTTGGAAGCTTCTGTTTCTCTGCTCCATGTTAGAGGATGTCTTCTTTCTTAACTGGTCTTGATAATTGTTCTACTTCATCTTATCATTTTTCAGAATATTTCACACTTTTAGCCTTTTTAACATTCTGTTTTCCTTTATCACCACCATCAAGTACTTCTTTCTGAATGAGCTTAATAAGCTTTGGATCTGCTGAGCATCCATTTGAAATCATCTCCTCATAAAAATCTCTGGCCTTTATGAACCACCTACACGTTACAAGCCCTTCAACCATTATTCTGTAATGCACACAACTGGGCACCACGTCATATGTCTTCATTTCTGTCCAAATTTTCAATGCATTTACGGGTTGCTTCAACTTCAAGAATTTTCCCAGAATTATGAGAAAGGAATCCTTATTTGGACCCAAACCAGAATCTTTCATCCTACTCAGAAATTCCAGAGTTCCTTGATAATCTGATCCCTCAAAAAATGCATGATAGGTCTCAGCAGTTGGACTAACATTCTCCTCTACCATTGTGTTTAACAATATCCTTGCCTCTGCTAGTTTTCCAGCTTCACAAAGAGGGAGTATCATGGAGTTGAAGGTGGCAGAAACTGGCTGCAAACCTTGTTCTTTCAACTTATCTATAGTCCTGACAGCTTCCTTCAAGCAATTTTCACGAGTTAAAACATATACCAATGAATTGTAAATGTCTATCCCAGGGATCCATCCCCTTTTCTTCATCTGATCATAGAGTCTAAGAGAGTCAAAAAGATTCCCTTCCTTAGAAAAGCAGGAAATCATGTAGCTATAAGAAGTAGCATCTGGGGTCATACAGTATTCCGACATTTCTCTCCAAACTCTTTTGGCTTCATATACATCCTTCGTTATGTTACACCATCCATTAAGAATGATGTTAAAGCTCTCGGTCTCAAGTGGGAAGAGCTTCTTATTTACTAGCATAAACTCTTCAGCCTCTTCCACATTTCCATATTTACAAAGAGCAGTCAAAAGTGCATGGAATGCTTCCTGATCAGGAGTCAATCTGAACTTGTCCAAAAAGTTGAATGTTTGAATAGCCTTGGCACAGTTGTTTGCAGATGCATATCTGATTGAAACAAAATACCAAAAGTGAAAAGGGGTGGAATTTATCTGTTATCAACAGAGTTGACATGACACTAACAAGAATCAATGAAATTTATGATCCACACAAGAAAACAGCCCACATGAATCAGAAGTTTTCAATGGAAGACTGGCAGTAACAATCTAATGTTATGAAAACATCGCAGTAGGCATTCTCGTCAGCCATAAGCAAGCAAAATAATTCATGTCCAACAAAAACTGAAGGAAAACAAGTTAGTTATACATTTCATTTACTATGCATTTCAGAAGTAGAGTTGTTCACGTTGTTTAAAGATGAATTTACAAAAGTAAGGCCATTTAGAGTTATAATTTGGCGTTTGAACATTGAAGCCACCTTACCTATCAATCATAATAAGCATAGCCTGACGCGTGGAGAGAGAGGAGCGATGCATATCTCGAATGATGCACCAAGCAGTCGAAAATTTTCCATGAGTTGCCAAGACCCATATCATCAAGTTGCAAACTTTCACATCATTATGATGACAATTCCATTGAAAGGCAAGCAACGCAGGTTTCCATTGGTCCCTCAACGCCCAAATAGCGGAACATATAAAATCCCTATTTGCTTGGAAACCTGACAAGTGGAGATCCTCTGCTTGCGGTGAGGAATGGGCCATCCTTTTGAGCAATTCAAGGAACTGTGGTAGGGTTGGGTCATCGGAATTGAAGTTGAAAGGCGCATAGTCCTGGCTCTGAGAGTGAGAGTGTAAAGAAACTGTTTGATGCATTGCCTGAGAGGAAAAACTATTACTAATTGCAATTCCGATTACAGGCACAATCAGTTGTGAAGGTTTTGCGATGACATTGAACGCTCTTGAAAGGTAAAAGTGTAACTGAAGAGGACGAGGTACAGCCATTACTTCAACTTTCAAACGTATTGCTTGCTTACTCCACTCGTTTTCTACACTACCATTACCATATAATAGAATAAATAATAGGAAACTTCAACTAGATTGTAAACTCAAATAAACAATAATTTATATTTCTTTAATATTATTTACCTTAATTATAATTTATTATCATTTTTTTTAATTGTAACATGATATATTAATATGTCAATTATCTCTTTTGTTTTTATTTATTTTAAAGGCTTCTAATTCATATAATTTTAAGTTTTAACTACCAATTGATATTAGCGAAATTAGAATGTTTTAATTGGGTGATTAAATACATATAATATTATTAAAAAAAATTATGCAAAAATTATTATTTGAAATAAAATATACTACCACCTTATGAACCAAGAAATCTGAGTCACAAGATTATTATTTGAAATAAAAAATTATACATTATAATAATATCGATTAAATTTTCTTAATATAATTTTTTATATTGTTATTTTACATTGTAAAGTTTTACCTAAAAAATACTAATAATCTATATGAATTGTGAGATTTGTTAGGTTAAATTTAAAAATTAAATAAATTTTGATAAAAGAGTTAAATACTTAGATGCCGCATTTGGAAGAACGTAGCTTCGCCCCTGGAGATGCATAGACCAGCTCAATTTTCTTAGCTCGTAGATGTCCCTTCTAGTTAGAGTTCTAGGGGCAAGGTTGCTGATTATTTATTTTTTTTAATGTCCCTCCTCTTGCTTTTTGGAAGCTAAGAAATGATTGTTTGTTTGTCTACTACCTCTGTTTTATTTATTTGCCTTTACAGGGAAAAGAAAAAACACCTTCATTAAATATACAAAAAAAAATTATTTCCGAGTTTCCACCTATGCATGAAATTAAGGATTCAGAAACCTTTAACAAATAAAAAAGATATAAAAAGTAATTAATACAGTAAGATATCATGTCACCGTATTCAGCTAGCATAAACTAACAAAATTAAAACAATGTTAGTGAGTAGGAGATTTAATTACAAGATTTTCAATCTATAAAGACACTTTTTTTTACTGTGTTTTATTATAAGAACCTAACTAAAAATTTGAAGGAAAAAAACTATAGGAGCTTACATATTAATTTGTCGATTCAAATATTCTAAGTATCAGTTTTGTCTAAAGAGGCATTGTTGAATCTGAATATCATGAGAAATCATCTAAAACTGATACAAAATTGAATTGAAAGAATTGCTCGATATGAGCAGGCTTTCCATTTGAATTTTATGATTGCATTCACGAAACGGTAAACATTGGTAGAACGGACGCAATTGTTTAATCTTCTTCACGGTGGTCTAGCTTACTACAGGGGCATGAGTCTTCTGTACTTGAAGAACCACACAAATGCACAAAATATGAAGACTCCACAAACTCCTGTTATTATCAGGACCCACTGGAAAGCAGAGGGGACATCAAATAATGCAATTTCAAAATTCATCCCAAATATTCCTGCTACCACTCCAAAGATAGCAACCACAAATGTTGCAGTTGTGAGTAAAAGCTCAAACTGGATAAGCTGATTACGCACATTATCCTGTAAAGGAAAAAAAATCAGTCGGCTATAGTTTCAATAATCAATTACATGAATAATAGATTACTATAATCAAGATGAAATTTTGCTTGTTTAAGTTTTCTAAAAACCAATTTTAAAATGTTTAATTTCATTTAGATACAAAAAAAAAAATTATGTAGCAAATCAACTTTAAAGAAAAAAATATTAAGAAATAATTATAAGTTTCAAATTTTCAGCTTAAAAAACAGCTTATTTATCATGAATAAAAGTTGATTACAAATATAAGTTGTTTCAAACAGTTTTTTTGTTTGCGAACAACTTTTTTTCAAAAAACAATTAAAATGAGAGATTATAATCTTTCTCAAACACACTCTCAAAGGGGAGTTTGTTTCAAGGTACATAATTGTAATCTAAAAGTGATACTCAGGGTCAAGCTACATAGTTATATTTTCAGGAATTACATTTCCAAGAATATGATGTTTAAGAATATTATTCCTACGAATATGTTTCGTTGACATTTAGTAATTTCAGGAAAAAAAATATTTAATTGAAAAAATAAAAGTTAAAGAATGAAGTGGAGATAGATATTGTAGAAAGTAACTTTAATTTCTATGAGAATGTAAAGATACCCACTTTCACTATGAAATATGTAGTCATTGTCCGATACACCTATTATCTTGAAGCAACAAAATTTGAAATGCCCCTACCTCTCTCCCCATTGAGTTATGTGAACATGTGCAGTTGCATGTATGATCAGACATAAGAAACATGACCAGAATAGGATAAATAAAATTGACATGAACACTGGGTTAAAGAAAAACAAACCAGTTGAATGTTGATGAAATCTTCTGTGTCATCAATGTACTCTTTCAACTGAAACAAAAATCAGGAAACGGTGGTTGATAAACTGTTACGAAGCCAGAAATAAGAGGGCAAGTGTAGATAACAGTGTTTACCGATGTCAACTTGTTTAGAGTGCTGTCAATGACCACGAAATATGCTTCCAGCAACATCTCAAGCTCCTCTATATTTTCCGTAGTACTTTCAGAACTCCTTGTGCTCTCATGTCGACTCCTAGCAATGCTGAAGCTCTTTTCAAGCTTCCGAGAATCAGGTGGTGATGAAACAGGAGAGACTGGAGCAGAAATGGATGCACCATCAATTGATTTATATCCAACCATAGACTGATCTCCATAAAATGACAACTCCATCCGCCTTTTCTTCTCAGTAAGATACATCTCGGCCATATCACCATCATCATCCATAAGCTGCTCTATTTCATCTCTAACCTGAATATATGCATTCACAAAGAAAATAATAATAAAACTCAGAAAATATGGTAATTGTCACTTGCAATCATAAAGAAAGAAGAAAATATAAATGAGTATCACCTTTTGAACCCTCCTGGTCAGGGCCACAAGTCTGCTTTTCAACCGACGAACACGTTCCAAATTTAGAGTACTGATCTTTGATGTCAATTCGTCCAACAACGGATAAGCCTCAATTTCTAACTCTGCTGCCTTTTGCAAATGGACAGAGCAGAACTGAGAATATTACTAATTAATTTATCAAAATCAAATGAACAAGAATACCAAAGAAGAGAATACGCAAACATGGGGATCAGAATTCTGCTTGGATATAATATGATAGAATTTTGAATTTTGTACATTATCATGCTCATAGGACTTCTCATGCCAGCATATGATATTTTTTTTTTCTATATCAATGAAGACCATATGGAGGTTAAACTGCTGCTTTCAATGACTTTCCATCATACCACTCAGCAGTTATATAGCCTGTATGGTTGACCTCTCTGGCATAAAGTTGACTTGGTTAACTAATATGTAAATCTCCATATTTTCTACTGTCAATTACTGTTTCCCACTCTTCACCACAATCAACCTAACATGTAGAAACTCCACAAAAGATGCACTGATTCATATTTAATTCCTATCTTCTTTCTCTCTCCTTATGTCTCACTTGTAACCTAGACAACTTTACTACCAACAAAACACATAAGCTACAAGATACATCAAATTGAAATCATCCTATTATTGCACACAGTCAAGTGAACCTCCATAGCTTTCTCTACAATAGGATGAAGACAAATGTGTTTACACTCGAGGTCACTTAAAGGATTAACTGCACCAGAGGGGGCAAACTTGCAATAATACCAAACCTTTTAGTGCCAACAGGAAAACAAGTGTGCTATTCATCCAATACAGGATGCAGATGTACATAGGCTTTATCTAAAAAATTGCAACAGAAGATTCTAAAGACTTAGCATCCTGTTACCACAAAAGGGCATTTTGGCCTTAATCAGTAGACAGTAGGTACGCATCAAAACAACAATTACCAACAAGTTCACTTAACCTTAATATGATCATACTTCCTCCAATGCCATGCGTTAATATTTTCAGAAACTCAATGATATTATGTAAAATATTTTATAGAAATAAAAGACCACCGATCATAGCAACCACTTCTCTCCTCTATAAATAAATGATTACAGAAAGAAATGAAGAACAATTTAAATTAAAAAATAAATAAGTTAGCCTCAGTATGTACTTCTACAAACCTGGGAATCAAGAAATGTGCATGCCGCCTCCAGGGCAACTTCAAGAGCCCTGAACTCAAAAGGTAAATAATCAGGGGAAGAGTTGCTAAATACATTTTCAAAACCCCTACTTCCTCTCCTTCGGTTCATGTCAGAACTGTCTGATTGCCAAACCTCCCCTACCCCAGTTGTTGTCAACCGTCGTTGTAGCTCCATTACATAGTGCAATACATAACTATCAAGGGAATTCAACAGAAGAACCTCATCTGCTGTAATGATACACCGTATCTGCTCAAGATTCACAACAATAGCTTTTTCCCTACCAAGGATTGTTGATGGGTAGACAAACAGAGGATCAAGTAGGCGAAGATCACGTGCAGGTAGATCACAGCGCCGCATCATGGTAAACTTGTCAACCTCAATGGCCTGCGAGTTTCCAGTTGTGTCAACACGAATCCATGATCGGAGACCTTGACCTCGCTTCTTTAGCCCCAGAACATCCACCCCTTGGAATGCTTGCCTTCCAGAAGCAGATGGTCGATTGGCAGCCTCTCTTACATTAAGAGCAGATGCAGGTTTTGGTGGGAGTAGCCGCTCTTTAAGATCCGCCATTATGAAGGTACACTAATAGCTGAAAACGTATATGTGGTACAATCATTAGCCCCCTATTGATTCCAACAGCATTATACAAACATAATATCATGCATATGACAGTATAGATCAATCTAGAGTCTAGACACATATCAATCTCTCAACATAATTGTGGCCCCGACAGATGAAGCATGCATCTATTATGAATCTCCCATTATATACTCAGTGAGTCAGTGGCATCACGGTCTGAAGAATGATAAAAGCCTCAGCAAAGTACGAAGATAGTGGGAGGACGAGAACCATGTCCTTAATTATTGATCCCTCTCACAAGTTTGCTTTGGCCACATGATCATAACTGCACAACGGTTATATGCATCTTAAAATGATGCAACCAATTATGTTATTAAGGATAGAAATACTACATACTAGACTACGATTATCAACTTCAACGAGTCCAAGTACCCGACCTGATACTGAAGACCAAAATATCATACAAATTAGAGACCCAAAAAAAACATTTATGACAATATGTTTCATCCCCCACACACCAATATATCATGTAAATAAAATCACGAATTTTATATAAGACGACAAAATCTCCAGGCAGGAAAACGTAAGGGTATAATAAAAATATTGACAGAGTTGTATAGAGATTCATACCCCCAACAGAAATCTGATAATATCTGGGATTTGCAACAAATCCGATAAGTGTGTCTTAAATTGAGCGATAAACACAAGACAAAACCGCCGAAAAAGAGGAAGGGGAAAAAGATTGAAACCCTTGAATTAGAGTGTGTGATTGATTCACGGCCAAGTCCGTACTGCTTCTCCGTGTGGGTGTGGACTGTGGACTGTGGAGTTCATCACACTGCGCTGAAAATAATAATAAATAAAAAAAAGGCGAACAAACAGAGAGAACTGTGGTAAGTTCTCTTCTCTGTAGTTTTAAGTTTTTCACACAAATAAATATATCATTTTTTTAAATGCAAAATTATTAATTATAATTAGGGATGACAATGGGTATAAATTCTTCACCGTCCCGTTATATGAAAATTAATCACCTTTTTATAAATTTTTTAAGAAATTAAAAAAATTATATTATAAATAATTTTAAGTTTATATTTAATGTCATTAAAATATTAAAAATAAAAATTTAATGTTAATTTTAAACTTGTATTTAATATTAATTTTATTAAAATAATAATAAAAATGTAAGATAATCAATAACTTAAAATACATTAATCTTACTAGTAAACGAAAGTCTCATATCACAAAAATGAGAGAGTGTAATTTTAGGTTATGTGATACAAAGATAATTAAGATATTTAAAAAATATTATTAAATAGATATTCACAAATATGAATATCATCGTATCTGCCCCCGTCCCGTTTATAAACGGATAAAAAATTATTTGTTCTTATTATCCATGTGTACCCAATTAACTTATCTATTTATTATCCTAACAGATTTTAGCCACACATACTCGTAAATATGGATATTTTTGTCATCCCTAATTATAATAATAAAATATAATAATTTTAATTATAATAATAAAATAGTCATAAAAAGTAGGATCAATCATCAAACAAAGTAATAATTTATAGAGAGCCTAAGTAATAAATTCTTCTTGTCGAATATTTAACTGTATACACCATCTGTCACAACGTGAACATGTGTTAAATGTGAATGTCACGGACTCACGGGGCTCTCGCACCTTAAGAACGTACTGACTCATTATTCACCAAGAAAAACTTTATAAAGGAATCATTTTTTACTATAATTTAATACACTTGCATTTATTTATTTATCCACGGTATTTAATAGTATTGCATTACTAAATGCGATTGATTATATTAATATAATTTAATTTTAATATATTGTTAATAATAATTAAATTTTTCACTTCCATCTTAATATCAAATAATTTTTTTATGAACATGAATATCAACTATAACACCCTATATCTTAACATTAATACACAATAAATGTAAACTATAATTTTCTGAGTAAATAAAATCTTTCATAGTTAATAACATCTTTCATGGATAAACAAGTGTCTCACATTCACAACTCATAAATCATAATTTCAATGTAGAAATTACAAGAGAAAAGAAACTAAGATTTTCAAAACAGTTTAATGAAACACAACATCCTAGGCTAGTCCTAACTACACCTTGATGTCACATGTCTTATCAGAGCACGCCCAATTGAAGTATAAATTTTGTCACAAACATCTTCATATTGATGGTCACCTACAACACAATAAAAAACATACATAGAGCAAATAGGGGAGTGAGAAACATCTCATTCAGGTTAAGGTAAAGAAATAACGGTTAGACAACACACATAAATCATAACAAACACAGACATAACTACACATAATTAGGTGCAAATTCAAATTATACAAACAATAGAAACACATACACAGTCATTCATCATACAATGATGTCATGGACTCAACTCATAAATACATGTATGTGGGGTCAGTCACATATCACATATCACTGGTGTACTCCCTAAACAACACACCTAAGGTAGTCTAGGAGTACATGTAGGTAACTACTCATACACTCTCAACTAGAAGGATGTACTGCTAGGGTCTGGTCGGGATAGTGAACCTGCACAAGTTACGTCTTGTGCTCACAAACAGGCAGAATCGAGACATTCAAACCGCACTATCCCCTAGGACTCCCTCAAGCTGTTACACAACGAGGGTCTTCCCTAACGGTGTACTCCATATCGTCTCCTTCGCTTACCTAGTTGAACAGAAGATGAAGCACGGGCAAAATCTGGTTCGTCTCCTTCGCTTGGTTCTCCTTAGTATTCAGAGCGTAGAAAGAAAATAAATAGGGCGAAGTTAGGAGAATGAAGCCTAAGGTAACTTCTCATAACTCCCTTCTTAAATTAATAATAATAATAATAATAATAATAATAATAATAATAATAATAATAATAATAATAATAATAAT